CCCCCCCCCAGCCTCCAGCAAGAGATTTGCTTGTGCTTAACTGGGTAGATCAGCTCCCTGCCACCAACACTCTTTGGGCTATGCAGCCTCTACTTTGTCTTGCAGGTTAACAGATGTACCCTAGTCCCCTTTGACACATCCCTCTCTAGCATTCACTGAATACGGCTAGTAACTACTCAATATCCTGTCCCCAAAGAAACTGTATACACCCAGCCTGTTAGTCAATTCAGGATCAGCACTTACTTAACACATTTGTAGCAAAAAAAAGTTTATTCTCAATGATCAAGATTTAAGACCGGCTAATGGAAACAAGATACACAGAAAACATGATTCCTGAAGACTACACTTGGACTAACCATCTACCTAAAGCAGCTTTTCTCATCCTAAATGTCCATCATTACATTTCCAAGCAAGGTTCTTTTGGGTGCCATTTTCATGAAGGTAAACAGTCCTCTTCCTCCACAGGACAAATGGGCATCTTTTTGCCCTTCCCTTAAATTCCCTAAAGTTCATGGTCTGCCCTCAGACTGAACTGGAGAGTGTCCTTCTCTGGTATCTTCACTTTGTATGTAAATAGGGTTTCCACTGTACTAGCTTACAATTTGTAATTTACAAATGAACTGAGACAAACAGGTGACAAAACCCATACAGCAACCCTGCCTTGAATCGGAAGACTTAGAGGCCATGTCTGAACTAGCAAGCTTACACCTGGACAGCTATAGCTGTGCTGCTGTAAGACTGCTCATGTAGCTACACTATGCTGATGGGTGAGAGCTCTCCAGTCAACATAATAAAATCACCTAAACAAACTGAGTTAAACCAGCTCTGCCCTGTAATAGAGGTACAAGAAGTAAGATGAGTCACTACAGAACACCTATACTCTTCAGAAAACATTCTTTATTCAAGATTAGATACAAGCATCAAACAATGGCATAGTGCAGCAATACACTCAAAAGGTAGGACAGAGGGTTTTATAAAATACTTAAACCTTTACAAACTTTAACAATCTAAAACCTCCATGAACAATGTATTATAGACTTCAGATGCCTGATGTTGTGGTAGGAAAGCTTTGCTAAGCCATTTTGCTTTGGTAAGTCAATTAGGGTAAGAACTTCTCCACACCTGGAATGCATGCACTATGCATATGGAAGGTAAGGGGTCTATTTAGGTAAACACTACATTTGTCAATCTGGTTTGTTACATGTATGATTAAAATTTTAGAGCCAAACTTGAACTATTAGTTTGGGGATGTTCCTGGCATGACATTTAACATCTTCAAATCTCTCACTGTGGAATAGTAGATAATCTAACCTACACACTGTGGAGAGCTACCCTCTGTCATGATTATATTTTTCCCAAAGCTTGCTACATTAAGTTTTAAAACACCTTGTTACTTTACCAACTGGTCATTAAAATGAAATCTGCATCACAGTACAAATTGTAACATATGTCATGCACTTTAACCTTGTTAATGTGCACTGTCTGAATGCACTTTATTTTTAGAAACACTTTAAGATGTTAAGATCAAGTATATACACTAAGGCTTACTGTAATAAAGCTACTTATTCTATATGAAGGGAATCTGGAAGCTTAAGATAACTGATTACAGAAAAAAATTGTGCTTAGCTTTTAGTTCCAGAGAATTGACCAAACTCTTCAAAAAGTACTCGTATATAAACAAAAGGCTTCTCTATCAGTTTTGTACGTAAACAGCAGGAGGGAAGAGATACTGTTTTTATCATTCCAAATCTAGAGCTGCACCAGTTATTTCTCAGACTGTTTGGAAAGAACAAAAAAAAAATCAAATCACATTTGTAACACTGAAGATAATGACATTGTAATGGAGAAAAGTAAAGAGCTGCAGCGAAGGAAAATGAATGAGGTTTAGCACCCAAGGAGGAGAAAGCCACCTGAGACCACAGTGCAAGTAGCACTGGGGTTAGAGAACCTTGGACTTAAGCAAACCTTCCTCTTATCAGCACCCTTAACTTGGTGGGTAATAGGAAAACTAGATGATTAAAGGCCCTACCCACTTTGGTCACAACAACAGTGGCAGGAGAGAGACCACAGCTTGTGCTACATCTCAGAACTGGGAAGGTCAGGCAGCCTTCCCCTTTCCTCGCCATCTACCAAAAGCTGAGCAGGAGGTGTAAAGGTGAAAACCGCAGTCATTTCCCAGCATTCATTCCTGTTTGGGGCTCTGGAAAGCAGGACACAATTCTCCCAACTTTGAGAAGCTGGTATGAAGGCAACATATCCCACTGGACTACCCCCAGCAGAGTTTGGGATCAAAGGACAGGCAATGGCAGGATCTAAAACTAAAAGCTATCAGCAGGGTCTTCCAAGGCTGATGTGCAAACTCCCTCTATTTTGCCTCACCAGTTATATTCTCTCTTTTCTGGGAGGAGAAACAGGAGGGCTGAAAGCACTTCCAGATGATTGTACTTGGAAGACAACCAAGAAATTGGGATCAAGGTAGATATTTACATATTATAGTTCTTTGGAGTTATTTTAGGCTTTGAAATGCAGTATTAGGCAGTTTCCAAAAAATATATGCAAATATACTAGGAGAGGAACATTCCTTGGGAGCATTTCTGATCAGCTAGGTAATAGACATCCATGCTATATATAATACTGCTGGGGGAATTCTGCATCACTGCATGTGTGCATATTTTCATGTACCATGCATATTTTTAAAATGTTTGGTAGAAAATAGCTTCTGCCCACCAGAGGGGAATGTGGTGCTAGAGCACAGCAGCAGCTCCTGGCAAGCCCCAGCCAGGATAGGGAAGAGAAAGAGCCTGCCTTCTTCACAGTGCCTGTTGGACCAGATCAGGAGATATAGGGAGACAGACAGACAGACAACATGGGGCTGCTGGGGGGGGGGGGGGGGGTGTCAGATAGGGCAAGACAGACTGGGGCAGGGGCTGAATGGGAGTGGAGGCACAGGGACATGGGGGAGAGGGGTGTAGAGCTACAGAGGGGAAGGGGAATAGAGCATGGGGGTACAGAGACATGGGGACAGGGCTAGGGGTCACTCAGGGTCTGTGTGGAGACACTCCCTAACAGTCCCCCTCCATGCCCCCTCCCCCCCCCAACCAGTTCCATACTTTTCCTACCCCTACCCAAACAACCCTTTAAGTTCACATCCAGGCTCCTTCCCAGCAGTTTACTTCCCTCTCAGTCAGCTCCTCCATTACCCCTAACTCCCCCAAGCCTTTGCACTGCTTCTGAGGGGGGTGGTGGGAAATATAGTTTGGTATTGTCATTTAAATGAATTACACAGAGTTCTGTATTAAATATTCCTAGTAAGGAATTTATTTGTCAAAAAACATTTCCTGAATCTTTTTTGTAGTCTGTATTGTTACAGACATACTTGCTCACAGGTATTTTGAAATAAATTACCAAAATAATGGAAGCTGGTGTGATTATAGTGTATTATTTTGACACAAAATATGTAGAATTTTGCAGAATTTAAAAATATTACATGCAGAATTTATTTTTTTTGGTGCAGAATTCCCCCAGGAGTAATATGAGTGTCTTTTCTACATGTCATTTAAGTCTAATGCTGACCATTTTGATTGAGAGGGGGATATCACACAAAGCTACTTGGATTAATGGCCTGCAAGACTTCAAAGATAGATTTTCCTGTATAAAGCATGGTAAAGTGATTCTATTTAATCCTCTTGCTTCTATATTCAGTTTAGATACAGACCCACACCCTTTTGGAAAAAAAATTAAACTGAACCAAGCCTCACACTGGACTATTTTTAAACGTAGGATTAAAATTCCATTGAGGGGCTCTAGTATCTACCTCAAGCACTCTAGGTGTGCTCTTGTGCTGCCAATACCCTCTGGAAGAATAGCACTATAATTCAGTTTTGTTTTAATACTGAAACATTTATATTCTACTTGTGTTCTTTATCAAGTGAGGATGCAGGTATCCCTCAATAATGCAGTTTTTGCCCATGAAATTGTAATAGATGTCTAAGAAATAATTTTCTATGTTGCTAGGTTTCTTGGGCCAAATCCTGTTCAGTTACACCAGTTTAACCTTAGGCTCGATGGAGTTATTCTGGACTTACATTCATGAGAAACCTTTCTACCCCCTCCTTATTACATTCTTCAGCAATGCCACTTAAGGACCTGTGGAGTGGGGGCAATACAAAAGCTATATAGATTTCCCACCACTCCTGGAGAGTGATGTAGATACCTAGGCTTCATGTTGTCATGGCTCCATTAGAGCTATACTAAGGCAGTGGGAGACAGTCCAATGACAATAGGATTTCCTGTGCTGGCTGTTTTGCCCCACAATAAAGAGGTCAGGAGGGAGCTTCCAACATCCTAAACAACTCTGAACTAAAGTTAATATCACAGGCTGAATACCTGATAGTTTCCAGGGGCAGAAAGAAAATGCATGTAGCCCACCTATATTCCATTTCCTCATGTATATAAATCCCCAACACTATGAAATACCCTCAGTGGGATCTGACAACAGGGAGGATGATACCTTATTCCAGGCCAGAGGGGAGACTTGTATGAAGAGACCCTCCAATTAGGACCATCAAGCCCGATGTTTAAATTCCTATAATACAATTATAGTTTTTTAGAATATTTAAAATAAATTTTAATGAAAATTCCACATTCAGTATAGTTGGTTGCACTTCCTAGGTACTGTACGTTTGAAACACTTGGCCTCACTGAACAGGTATTTTCACTGAACAGACTTTTTATAGCAGATTGCTTTATTAGTAGCTAAAGCATTTTTGAGAAGTGCAGTCTAACGAGATTAAGCAATACCTTATAGACATTGCTCTCTCATACACACACACGAGAAATCATTGTGGTGATCTTTCATGTACTCATCACACAGCAGTAGAATTGTTAAACAGAAGATACACAATTTTGCCAAAACAAACAAATCTCATTGGCCCCCACTTCTATACAACAGAAGTAGAAAAGGAACAGAACAGAACCAGAGAACACAGATAAGAAACTTCCAAGGTCAGACAGCAGTCATTTCAGAGACTTAGCAGCAGCATTTTTAACCTACAAAGTAGGAAAAAAAATACAGTTGAGAGAAATTTATTTAAGAATTGTCAGAAAACAGGACAGATGCACTTCAATAAAAACGTCCATTCCAAATTTGACAGATTAGTAAACGTAGGTAATGTCCTCACCGTACTTCAAGAATGGATCATGTAAACACCTTGTAGAATGTGGCAAACGTAGTGAAGTAGGAAAATCACTAACAGTGCCAGTGGCTTTGTATTTCAGGTCATAAATATAACCTAGTGTGCAATTAACACAAACATGATGATAAAGCCTAACTCAGTTAACAAGTTTTAGTTAATATGATTAAAAAAATAAAATATAATTGCTTTTAGTGCAACATTTATTATATCAAACATAAGTATATCATGCTTTGGAAATTTACTGTTACATTATATACAGTATACAGCAATACTTTAAAGGTGAGTGACAAAAATATGTAACGGAAAATGTTTACATACAGGTGAGTCTTCGTATTGTCCACTGAATTGTCAGGTTTGTTTTGCAGTCTGCTATGTCATATGCACATTCTTGCCTACCACCATACAGTACTGTTTTTCCAGCAGTGGTTTTTCTGTTCACATACAGTAGTAACGATGTTTTAAAAAAACTGCATAGCCTTCAAGCTGCGTCAGTTGTTGCTACACACACCAATTCCATGGACATCTAAAAATACAAAAACAAATTATTGCTGTGAACATTTTATGGAATTTAATCTAAGTTTAGGAATAAAAAGGCTCAAATCCTACAATTGGATCCATGGACATGCACCCTTGCGGAGCCCCACTGAAATTCCTGGGACTTCAGATGGATGCATTCTTCAAGCCATTTGTAAACTCAGGATCCCTCAAGCTGCATCCTTCCAGTTTTCCTTCATTTAAAGGGCACAAAGCTCTTTGATTGAGGGATTGCCAACTCACAGATTACACTAGGAATAGAAAGTTTCATTTTAGGATTTATGGATGACAGTTGATTTAAGAAATCAGTATTTGGAAAATTTTTAAAACTTTGCTCTTAAGTTTCAACCTCCTCTGCTCAGATTTCTGCTAGCAGCTTGAATGAGGAGGATGTGTACTACTCATAATGTATCACACACAGGCCAAAATGAATGCAGAGAAAATAAGCCAGTTATTGTGTTTCAAAGACCAGTTTTATTTTTAATACATCTGCAGCTCAGAGCAAGTGGGTGGCTATCTGTTTATTGCACCAAATGCAGCATGTATTGATTACCTGCCCTATGAGCAGGTGGCGTATGTGTGCATTCGGTGCAAGGAACTCTGGCCCTCAGAGACCATGTACGGGCTTTGGAGACCAGGGTGGCTAAGCTGGAGGAGCTAAGGGAGACAGAGGTACATAGATGAGACTTTCCAGGACACAGTAGAATGGTCCCACCCCCAGTGTGACAGCCTCTGTGCTATTGAGGACGATGAAAGTCTCAGGGAAGGAGGACATCCAACTGGAATAGAGGGAAACAATCCTGTAGTTGGGACCCTCCTTCCAGATGACCTTGTGGTATCCTCTCGCACTGAAGATACCTCTCCAGGGGAGGGAACTCCAGTTATTAGGAAGAGACAGGTATTAGTAATGGGCGATTCCATCATTAGAAACAGCTGGGTTTGCGATGACCAGGAGAACCATATGGTGACTTGTCTGCCTGGTGTGAAGGTTGCCGATCTCTCGAGACATCTAGATAGACTTGTGTGTAGTGCTGGGGAGGAGCCAGTGGTCATGGTACATGTAGGTACCAATGACATGGGAAGGACAGGTGGTGTGTCCTGGAGGCCTAATTTAGGTTGTTAGATAAGAGATTGAAATCCAGAACCTCCATGGTAGCATTCTCTGAAATGCTTCCAGTTCCACATGGAGAGCCAGTTAGACAGGCAGAACTGCAGGGTCTCAATACGTGGATGAGACAATGGTGTAGGGAGGAGGGGTTTAGATTTATTAGGAACTGGGGAAACTTTTGGGAGAGGGGGAGCCTGTACAGGAAGGATGGGCTCTACCTAAACCAAAATGGAACCAGATTGCTGGCACTTAGTTTAAAAACTGCTCAATGACCTTTTTAATTTTAAAGGCTGGGGGAAAGCTGACAGGTGTGAAGGAGCATGTGGTTCGGACAGAGACATCCCTTAGGGGGAGGATGGAGATTCTCTATGTCCTAGTAATGGAGGAGAGGATGGAAGATGATAAAATACAGGTAGGATCTGATGAGAAACAGTCAAATGAAAGAAAGTCCCATTCAATTACATCATATGTATGTATGTAATGGCAGACATCTAAAAAATGACAAGTTTTTGAAGTGCCTATATACCAATGCTAGAAGTCAAAATAATAAGATGGGTGAACTCGAGATATAACAGGCATCACAGACACTTGGTGGAATGAGGATAATCAATGAGACACAGTAATACCAGGGTACAAAAATATATTGGAAGGACAGAACAGGTCATGCTGGTGGGGGAGTGGCACTATATGTGAAAAAGCGTAGCATCAAATGAAGTAAAAATCTTAAATGAACCCAACTGTACCATAGAATCTCTATGGATAGTAATTCCATGCTCTAATTATAAGAATATAGAAGCAGGGATATATTACTGACCACCTGACTAGGATGGTGATAGTGACAAATGCTCTGGGAGATTAGAGATGCTATTAAAATAAAAAACTCAGTAATAATGGGGGATTTCAACTATCCCCATATGGACTGGGTACATATCACCTCAGGATGGGATGCAGAGATAAAGTTTCTTGAGACCTTAAATGCATCTTGGAGCAGCTAGTCCTGGAACCCACAAGAGGAGAGGCCATTCTTGATTTAGGACTAAGCAGAGCACAGGATCTGGTCTAAGAGGTGAATATAGCTGGACCGCCTGGTAATAGTGACCATAATATAATAAATTTAACATCCCGGTGGCAGGGAAAACACCACAGCAGCCAAACACTGTAGCATTTAATTTCAGAAAGGGGAACTACACAAAAATGAGGAGGTTAGTTAAACAGAAATGAAAAAGGTACAGCACCAAAAGTGAAAACCCTGCAGGCTGCATGGAAACCTTTCAAAGACACCATAATAGAGGCTCAACTTAAATGTATACCCAAATTAAAAAACACAGTAAGAAAACCAAACAAGTGCCACCATGGCTAAACAAAGTAAAAGAAGCAGTGAGAGGCAAAAAGGCATCCTTTAAAAAGTAGAAGGTAAATTCTAGTGAGGAAACTAGAAAGGAGTATAAACTCTGGCAAAGGAAGTGTAAAAATATAATTAGGAAGGCCAAAAAAAGAATTTGAAGAACAGCTAGCCGCAGACTCAAAAAGTAATAGCAACAATTTTTTAAGTATATCAGAAGCAGGAAGCCTGCTAAACAACCAATGGGGCCATTGGACAATCGAGTTGCTAAAGAACTCAAGGACGACAAGGCCATTGCGGAGAAACTAAATGAATTCTTTGCATCAGTGAGGAAGATTCCCAAACCTGAGCCATTCTTTTTAGGTGACAAATCTGAGAAATTGTCCTAGATTGAGGTGTCATTAGAGGAGGTTTTGCAACAAATTGATAAACAGTAAGAAGTCACCAGGACCAGATGGTATTCACCAAAAAGTTCTGCGGAACTCAAATGTGAAATTGCGGAACTACTAACTATAGTCTGTAACCTATCATTTAAATCCGCTTCTGTACCAAATGACTGGAGGATAGCTAATGTGACGCCAATTTTTAAAAAGGGCTCCAGAGGTGATTCCAGCAATTTGCAGGCCAGTAAGCCTGACTTCAGTACCGAGCAAACTGGTTGAAGCTATAGTAAAAACAAAATTGTCAGACACAGAAGAACAGAATTTGTTGGGGAAGAGTCAACATGGTTTTTGTAAAGGGAAATCATGGCTCAATCTACTAGAATTCTTTCAAGGGGTCAACAAGCATGTGGACAAGGGTGATCCAGTGGACAGCGTGTGCTTAGATTTTCAGAAAGCTGTTGACAAGGTCCCTCACCAAAGACTCTTCAAAGTAAGCAGTCATGGGATAAGAGGGAAAGTCCTCTCATGGCCTGGTAAACTGATTAAAAGATAGGAAACAAAGGGTAGGAATAAATGGCAGTTTTCAGGCACACTGCAAAGAGCTACAAAAGGATCTCTCAAAATTGGGTGACTGGGCAACAAAATGGCAGATGAAATTCAAATGTTGATAAATGCAAAGTAATGCACCTTGGAAAACATAATCCCAACTATACATATAAAATGATGGGGGTCTAAATTAGCGGTTACTACTCAAGATAGATTTGGGAGTCATTGTGGATAGTTCTCTGAAAAACATCCAATCAATGTGCAGCAGCAGTCAAAAAAGCAAACCGAATGTTGGGAAATCATTAAGAAAGGGATAGATAATGAGAGAAAATATATTGTCTCTATAAATCCATGGTACGCCCACATCTTGAATACTGCGTGCAGATGTGGTCATCCCATCTCAAAAAAAATATATTGAAATTGGAAAAAGTTCAGAAAAGGGCACCAAAAATGATTAGGGGTATGGAACGGCTTCCATAGGAGGAGAAATTAATAAGACTGACTTTTCAGCTTGGAAAAGAGACAACTAAGGGGAGATATGATTGAGGTCTATAAAATCATGACTGGTGTGGACAAAGGAAATAAGGAAGTGTTATTTACTCCTTCCCATAACACAAGAACTGGGGGGAGGGGGGAGAGGTCACCAAATGAAATTAATAGGCAGCAGGTTTAAAATCAAACAAAAAGGAAGTATTTCTTCACACAGCGCACAACTTGTGGAACTCTTTGCCAGAGGATGTTGAGAAGGCCAAGTAAATGGGCAGTGCATTTACATTCAGGAAAACAGGATCACAACCAGCCTTGGTTAAAGAAGCTGCAAACAGCTTTGGTTTAGATAAAACTTCATTAGACAGAAGTTTAACCCTAATAGTTAAGTTTAGTACCCAGAAAGCATGTAATTTTGTTTATGTAGCCCTTTATCCATTATCATTATTCACCGTCTCTTGAATCTCTGATAAGAAGCCTATTGTTTTCACTATAACTATATCTCAGTACTGAGGTATTAAGCAAGGTGTTGACCCTGAGCTGCATCATATAAGCTGGTGTGTACACTGTTCCCTTGGGGACCAGAGACCTGGTATTTCTGGGAGTGTTCACTAGATAAGGAGCTGGACACTACAGGAACGCTTCAAAAGAACTCGGGGACTGGAGTACACCTATTATTAACTTGCAAAGTAAAGGAACATAAGAATGGCCATATGGCTCAGATCAATGGTGCACCTAGTCCAGAATCCTGTCTTTAGATAGTGGCTGGTGCTAGATGCTTCAGAGGGAATGAAACAGAACATCAAGTGATACATCCCGTCATCCAGTCCCTGCTTCTGGCAGTCAGAGATTTAGGGACACCCAGAGCATGGGGTTCCATCCCCAACCTTCTTGGCTAATAGTCATGGATGGACCTATCCTCCATGAACTTAACTAAATTATTTTTTTGAACCCAGTTATATTTCTAGCCTTCACAACATCCCCTAGCAATGAGTTCAACAGACTGACTATGCGCTGTGTAAAGAAGCACTTTCGTATGTTTGTTTTAAACCTGCTGCCTATCAATTTCATTGGGTGACATCTGGTTCTTGTGCTACATGAAGGGGTAAAAAATACTTCCTTATTCATTTTCACCACACCATTCATGATTTTACAGACCTCTATCATATTCTTCCCTTGTCTAAGGTGAACAGTCCCAGTCTTTTTAATCTCTTCTCATATGGAAGCTGTTGCTTACCTCTAATAAGTTTTGTTGCACTTGTCTGTACTTTTTCCAATCCCAATATATCTTTCTGAGATGGGGTAACCAGAACAGCAGACAGTATTCAAAGTATGGGCATACCATGCATTTATACAGTGGCATGATGATATTTATTATCTTATCTATCCCATCCCTAACATATATCTTTTGTGACTGCCACTGCGCTTTGAGCAGATTTTTCAGAGAACTATGTGGAAAGGGCTGGCATTGCCCAGAGGAGTGTGCATGGGTGACTAACAGGCTGGTGGTGTCAGGGAGCTGACACCCAGCTAAGTGCAAGCAAGTCTCCCTCATACTGGAGGCAAGGGGGGAGGGGAGAGACCCCACCTTGCTACCCCAAAAAACCATCAAACAGGTTAGCTGTGAAAAAGTCCACCACCACAAAATATGAAGGCTCTGTATGGAGACATCAATATAATAAACTAACAAGGTATAGCAACCTACCAAAGATCCTTATTCTCAATTTCTATGGCTTACCTTTTGTTTCTAGAACAAGTGTTCAGTTTGTTTTGTTGTGTTTTTTTTAACAGCCACATTCTTGAGCACTTTGAGCCTGTGCTCTACGTGGGGATCTCAGCTGTCTCAAGGCAGCATCTCCATACTGAATTCCTGAGCCCATCCTTTCTGGATCCAGTTCACCTGATGATAAACAAAATGGCCTCATAAGTTGTCCTCATTGTAGATAACAGATTACAAGTAAAAACAGCTAACACTAGATAAAGTTATTAGCATTTATGTTTTCCTATCCCAGTTATAAATAATTGGATCACTGTTTTATCATTCAGATAATTCCATCTTTCATTTCCCACAGTAGTTTCAAATTGTCCAGCCCCTGAACAGAACTGAAGCAGTGCATCTTACAAGTGAGTTTGGGCTTTTTCCCCATGTAGACAAGCCCTAAGTGCCTAGTGTGTACTAGTTTCCTATGTGAACACTTACACTGCACACTAAAAGTGCCTTTGTGCATAGTAGCTTTCTCTGCCTGTCCAAAGTGCAGTGTCTCTCTACACTGCAGGATTTTTTTGGCAGTGGGCATACACGCACAGCCTCCTAGTATGGTATAAACAGCAGTGCAGATGGTGAAGCATGGATTAAGCCAGTAGAGTAGACACACCTGAAGGGTGTGGCATGTACCTGGAGTACATTCCCTACATGTTCTCTACTGGCCCAAGCTGTGCCTCCCATCTACACTGCTACTTTTAGCAGTGTAGTGTCCTGCTGCTTGGGCCTTTCCCTCTGCAGTAAAAAGCTCTGGCAGCAGGGAAAGGCTGCCAGCTCCTGCTGTTGGAGCCCTTCTCTGCAGGGAAAGATTCCGGCAGCAGGAAAACGCTCTGGTGGGGTGTGTGAGGCAGCAGGGAAAGGGTTAAGCTTTCACAGTGGCAAGGAAAGGCTTTAGTGGGGTGGAGGCAGCAAGGAGCAGCTAAAGCCTTTTCTCAAGGCCTCCCCTCTCCCAGAGGCTTTCACTAACTTGGGTAGCTATGGACTACAGCGTGGACGCAGTGTGCCTTCCCCGGTTGCATTTAGCTACATGTACACTACGTGCCACTGAAAGTGGTGTGTAATGTAGATGTAGCCTTAGTGTACAGTAGAGTGTGTGTCCACATGGGGAGATTTGTGCAAAATAGCTAATACACTTTAAATTCACACTCTAGCTTACTGTGCACTAACTTCCCTGTGCAAACAAGCCCTTAGACTGACTGCAGCAAGAGGTCTTTTCCCTTAGAGGTAGTTAAAGTCCAAAATAACTAATGTTGGCTTTATAGTTCCAATTTCATTGGGGGGGGGGGGGGGGGGAGAAGGGTACCCAAACAAAGAAGGATCAGGATATTTTTAAACAAAGAAGGATCAAAAGTACCATAGCAAACCAGGGACAGATAGATCAGTTTGATACACTAGCCATGAGCTCTGTTTTGTTCCATTTTCATTTAAAATATGAATAAAAAAATGGAGTTTTGGCCTTGATTGAGTTAAAAAGGTACAGAGGAATTTACACCAAAGAGTTCCTGAACATTCAAAATACGTCCTTGGAATTCAAATAATGGAAACTGGCTCCCTACTAGACTGAGCTTCCTGATTTTGCCAATTTTAAAAAGTTATTTTATGAGGCACCAAGTAGACTAGAAAGTGGATTTGCTGCAATGACTATTACCACAATCAAGTCTCACTTGTACTGTGAGGCACCTTGTGTATTCTGGAGCCTGCAAAAATATAAATGAGTAAGATGACCTCAGACAGAAGCCATGCAGGTCAATTAGAGCACTTCTAACAAGGGAAGGTCTCATATGCTTAGTATATGATCTATTTAATCACCTTGATATTATTATTCCCTATCTATATAAAAGCAGGTGCAAAAGTGATCTGAAGAGTCATGTCTGCTATGATAGTGATGCAGCCCAGAAAGCTGCTAAAACTTAAGTCTTCCTAATTCAGAGGCTCTGTAGTTGTGAAGACAAAGAAGGCCACAGAGCATGCAGCCTGCAACCAGAAAGCTGAATGTTAAGTCTAACATTAAGAAACTCTATGGGGGTACATCCTCCTTTTGATGAATGCAATTAAATTTAATGTTCATTCCCGTTAACATATATGGGGAGGTAAGAGGTGAATAAACAGAAAGGGACATTTTTTTACAACAAAAGAATGTACACATTGAATCTATTTATATATGTAATCTATTACAAGTAACTGTATCCATAGATTTACTGATGCACTGTGACTAAACTTTTACTATAAGGAAATTCCAAAGCTGAGAGATACTGGAGTTTTCACTGTGGGACAAGAAGTGAAAATAAATTCTAACTTAATAATAATCTTTATTTCAATTTACCTGATTCAATTTTATTAAGTATTTTTCTTGCACACTGTACAAAGGCCTCTTCAACATTCTCCCCGGTTAGTGCACTTGTTTCCAAAAACATCAGCTCTGCATTTGATGCCAGAAAAATAAAATTTCAGGTCATTAAAACTTTGAAATGCTCTGTTGCAGTACTTGAAACAAGAAAAAAGTTTGTCAGAACAGTAAGAATTTCTTTTAAACAGAAGCTATTTTTAAGTAAGACTCTGAAGCAGTTTAGCCTCCCCCACCCTCTCCAAAAAATAATTAGGTTCTGAAGGTAGGAGTCCTAGAACATACTGAATATTGACACTGTCATGATTACATGTAACTGAAAAACTGTTTTTGGTTTGAGATTTAAACATTCTCCCTCAAGTGCTGGAAACTCAAAGGCAACAGCATTGTGCTTGTGCACGGGATTCAGAATATGAAGCCAACTGCACAAGCCCATCTAGTTCTACTGTTCAAAGCAAGTGGAGCATAAAAATCAGCCAGTATTTATGGTAAGACATTAGATTTATCAAGAGGTTTTAGTAATATAGATATGGATTCTTTAACTGATTGTGTTTTATGTCCCTTTAACTCACCATGCTGTTATGCAGCACAAGTGTTTTCCGGTGAATAATTTAAAAGAATGCCCTAAAAAGCTGCAAGCATGCTGACAGAGAGGAAACGGTGATGTGAGCACCAAACTATGAAGCAGTTCCAAGACAAACCTAAAATACACTTATTTTGAGCTATTTTTTAAACCTCTAAAGGAAGAAGAGATAATTAAATCAGTGGCTAATATTTCCCAAATAGGCCACAAACAATATTACATTCACCAAATATTTATTTGATCATAGACAAATTAAAAATGTTGCTCTAGACTACAAAAGGCTGCATATTGGCTCTATGGCATGAGCAGCTAGTTCTTGGATGAAAATTCAGCTTAACACTTTATCCGGAAGTCAAATATGATAGCAAGGCAATTATTTGGAAGTTTACTGCATCTCTATCCAGGCCTCTGAAGTGAACTTGACCTGGTAACATCCTCCCCTCACCTTTCAGTTATAAAATTCAAGGTTTTTTTTGTGAGAGTGAGCATGAGAGAGCGAACACCCCATTCAGAAAATCCAGTCCTCAATAAAATGTCTACTTAGGAAAAATTAGTTTTAAAGGTGGAAGGAGAGCGGCTAGCAGATTTTGTGGGAATGGGAGGGAGGCAAGGGCAGGGAAACACTGCCATTCTTCTCAGCAGTAGACCAAAATGCCTTCTCCCACTATCCAAACCAAGGGCATATTTGCAGTTTGGATAGACAATACCAACTTGACTTGTTCCAGTGGCTAAAGGACTGTCACTTTATAGGCTTTGCTGGGCTGCCTTCGTCCCTCCTGATCTTCACAAGAAGCTTATGTTACCTGCCTACCTACCATTCATGTTACATTTCAAAGAGCAGCAAGCTTAACTTCCCTTGACAAAGTTAATCAATGCTGCTCCACAGTGGCTTAAAGCAAGTACTGTACTATATGTTATCACCAGTTAACAGAGCAAGTTACCTGTTTTCCTCTTTGTAAGAAAAAAAAAGACATAACATTTGAAGTCAATCCCCACACTCAGATGCTCACATAATGTTGTATTGCCTGCAATTTTTGTATCATAGCAAAATCATGTAGGAGACTGAAGATCAGGTCTTGGGGTTTTTTAGAACTCTGTTCTGTCTTCCTTTCCTTTCTCCCCTTAAATCGCAGAAAAGAATCAGCTGGCCTTTAACTTTCATATTTTTCCCCAGATAATGCTCTTCCAGATCCATGCAGGGAGGGGAACCTCTATGCCTGGATCTCACCCCTCCCACATGGAAGCTGCCTTTGTGGTACCATCCCACCCCAAGAATCTGCAAAAGAATCTCCATGGGAGAGGGATCCTCATCGGGGGAAAAGAGTGAGAGCTAGAAGATCCTATTCATCATCTCCCCAGCCCTATGGTGATATATCCTGGAGCTGTGTTGCCTGTATTTCTGCCATATTTTATTTGTGGATCTTTTCTATGGTTAGGAACCCTTCTTTAAGAGGGCCCTGAGAATAGTTATGTGTAGGGGGAATCCTTGGTAGTGTGACTTCAATGAGGCTGTGCTATTAGGGAACAGGAAGTAGAGGATGAAGCACCTGAGACACACAGCCCTTACATGGATGGTTCTAACCTCCCCTGGATTCCTGGAAAATGGGGGCTTTGTGGGCCATCTTTTTGGCCTTTTCTGTTGTCGGGGAAGGAAGCCAGTGAAGTGAACTCTCTCGGGAAACTACATGATGGGACCCTCCGTGAATAAAATTTCCTCCCTCCTCCCCCTTTACTTCAGCGAAGCCCTCTGTATTTAATGCTAAATTAAGGGGAAGGGGTATTACATGGAAAACAGTATTAGAATTTTAACAAGGTTTGTAAGTGGGCAAACATTAGTTCCTTAGACACAAGAGCTGAATAATTTGAAGTAAAAAAAAAAAAAAAAAAAAAAATAAAAAAAAAAATAAAAAAAAAGAACTAAAAAATTAAAAAAAAAAAAAAAAAAATCTTCAAAATTAGATTAAACAGACTACCTACCATTTTCTTGTGCAAACCTGGATGCTTCTAAAAAAGTAACTTCACGATCTGCATCGAGATCCTTTTTGTTCCCACACAGTATGATAACAATATTTTGACTTGCTAACATCCTTGCATCCGTCAACCAATTAGTAAGTGCGTTGTAGGTTTCTCGGCTGCGTAACACAAAAACAACATTTCTATAATATACAATTAATATTTCTATAAACTTCTGGACCAGGATGACCTAGAGGATAGAACTCAAGAGACCTGTGTTCTATTCCTGTCTCTGCCACTGGCATGCTGGGTGACCTTGGACAAGTTACTTCCTCAGTTTCCCCATTTTCAAAATGGGGATAGAACTGAACTCCTTTGCAAAGCACGTTGAGATCTACAGATGAAGAGCATTACAAGAGGTTATTTCTTGTCACCAGAGTTCTTTGAGATAGACTCTGCATATTCACACTCGTGAGATGTCAATGGTGCAGCTCTAGTGGATTATTTTGATAGAACCTGTTGGAGCACTCACTCACACCCTCCTACTCTTCTTTTCACTGTTCCTCAACTTTGAGTCAGACTATAAAAGAGGGCATGATGTTCTGCCCACCTCACTTCCTTCTACGCCCCCACCCAAAGTCCAGAATTACAGTTAGAACTCCAAGGAAGAGGGGAACTTTATAACTGAAAGAAAGTTTAAAAGTTTGTCCTTTGGCAGAAAGGCTGTTCCTACCCAAGAGTCCAGAATCACTAAGAGGATCCTTTGAGTGGAAAGCAAAAGCGACAGTTTCTTATCATGAGTCCCAGTCTTCCAAGAAGGCGGCAGGTTGTGGGGATACAGCACTGCAAAGCTTACTTGAGAGGATGCTTTGATTAGCCAATTGTCTAAGGACAGGTCTGCATGAATCTCTTACCTCTTTAAATGCACTGTCAACTGCAGACAGGCACTTGGGGACAATAAATACACCACATGAGAGGATGTTGTACTGGAAATGGTTCTTCCTCCCCACTACAAAATGAAGATATTTTCTGTGCATTTGAAACATGCATCCTTGAGACTGAGTGCTCCAAACCAATCTTGAAGGGCAAGGGAAGGTATTACAGATGCTAGGGTAACATCCACAATAGAAACTTTCTGACAGTTTCCTGAGGTCCAGTATAGATCTGTCTCTGGGATCAGTAAATATCTTGAGTAAAAACCTCTCTCTCTGAACTCCTTTGGCACTTCTTCTATTGCCCTCATCTCCAAAAGAGATAGAGCCTCTGTTCATAGCAGACTTTCATAAATAAGAGGGACTCCTGAATAATCCATTGTATATAGATTCTTATACTACGCTCATCACCGTAGTATCTGAGTGCTTTCTGGTAGTGCATTCATCAATGTGACTACACAACCTGTCACGTGTTGTTTGTTCTCATATCCTGTCCCCAAAGGGAAAGAGTGTGAAGTGGAATGTCTTGTTTCGGTATGGGTGGTTTTTAAAAAGTAAGTCTACCTCTTGCTACGTGAATAGGGAAGGAGGGGGTGAAGTATTTGAACTGGCTTGCACATCCGCTTCGTATCATTTCCAAATGCCCATCTTGGACTGGGATAACCAGACATTTTAAAAATGACATAGGTGGTATCCAAATGAGGTGCTGGGCGGAGAGGAGGGAGATATGGTTCCATATTGGTTCATAGTTCTTGATCCTCAGATAAGTCTGTGACCTCAGGTCTGACCCAGAAAAAGTCACTGGGTCTTCCTGATCTTTATTTGTGGCTTATAGTATCCTCCTTAACATCAAAGGAGGACCTGTTGATGTTGGTATTGTAGCTTTTGATTAAAACATGAGGAACTAGATGAAAATGGATATTTTTTGTCTGTTACCTAAAGACTTACCTCAGGTTTCCTTTGGGAGGTTGGTATATTCCCAACAACATAGCAGTAGACCTAGTATCCTTTGTCTTAGTGGAGAATAAGCTATCCCCCTTCAAATGGGAGGTTCTTTACTCTTACTTTTGTCTCCGAAGGCAGACTGAGACAAGCATGACATTTAAGAAATTGCTGAGGCTACTGCTCTTCCAAATGCATCAGAGGAATCGAATGCTACAATCAGTGTTTTGCCACTAACTGTCCCTCTGATATCAGTGCACTAGCCAGCTCGCTCTGATCTTCTGGAAGAGATCTTTAAATACCACCATCTTTTCCTAAAGATGCAACTAGTACCTTGCCATTGTATACTCTGATGCCAAGCATTGCCAACAAGAATTTTCTGCCAGTTACATCTATCATCTTTCCCTCTGCCTGCTGGTGTAAAGTCAACTTCATTGGCCTTTGAGCTCTGAACTGCAGCCTCAACTATGAGAGTGTTGGGAGAGGGGTGAATGTGAAAATAAAGTGTTGTTAAGGAACCTGATAATAGTTTATCTCCCTTCTTGGGCACAGCCTGTATTGATGCAGGCTTGGACCATATGTTTTTGGCTGGCTCTAAAAACCATTCAATAGCAGCAATGTAGTCGTCAAGGATATCAAATTTAGGCTGTAGAGTTTCTTCCACTGCCACAGGAGGAATTTTAAGAGTTGTTGCCATTCTGCCTATTAATTTGTAAAACAAGACTGTATCCTCTGAAAGAGGCATGCTAATGCCATGTTCTCAGCTGGAGAGATCTGGTCCTCCAGCTCTGGATTCATCTCTTTATAACATTCCAGCACTACCAGAGTATATCTGGAATAACTACTGGAGACTGGTCCTTCTCTCTAGAAGCTGACAGATCCCGGATCTTTGGAGCCAATAAGAGATCTCCCTTAGTTTTTTCATATAGCGAGACTGCTGAGTGTCAGGGTAATGCCCAGGAGGATGACACGAGGGCCATCTAGCCCAGGGAGGTATACAATAATCTGGCCAATAGTTCATTCTAGGCTCTATTTCATATCACCTGTCAGGGTATGGTGCTTGCTTAAATGATGGATGCTTAGCAGAATACCCTTGCTTGTGGGTATTGCTGTTGAAATAAAAAGTGGTGTAGCTTGTTCCAATTCTAATTTGTTCATATCTTGCACACAAAGTTACTGCTTTGAGTAACCTAGTTGTTTTGTACACTACAATTATATCGGCATTTATTTCTGTGGAAGTTTTTAACCAGGGTTTATAATTCAGCAATAAGAGCTCACTTTGGAATGAAGTTTAGCACAAGAGCTTTAGACTAGCAGTTTACTGGTGTACACATCAGTTCACCAAAAAAAATACTTCTAGTGAAGTATAATGACATAACTATGAAACATTCTGTATATGTTCTCATGTTTATGGCAATACAAAATTGCTCTAACTAAACATTTTGAGTAGCTATCTAGCTTAGTGTTTAAAAAAAAAAGGCACCATATTAAGCAAGAACGCCACCTCTAAAGAATTTTCAAGGATATATAAAAATCAGTTACAGTCTAATCAGACTAGTGTTCTACAAGAAGTTGGTTATAGAACATCAGACGGGAGAAGACAGTTGATCCTAAAGTCAGTGCATATAAATCTGATTAACCATTGTTGAGAACTGGGTTTCACTACCAGCTAAGAAATCTCAGAGAACCTTAAAATAAAAAATTAAGACAGAACCACGAACAGAAGTAATTCTAGTACTACATCTAGAGCTGTAGCTTCCAAATCTTGGGGGGGGAGAAGGGAGAAATCCAGTCAACCACCTCACTTTCTCCAGAGAGCAAGAGGGGAACTGCCATACCAGCACACAGATAAGTCACGTTTCCAGAAAAGGATTTTCTTCCTTAGTCAAGAGGCTAAATTCTGCTCTTCACTTGTGACACCCTGGGCTTGGTAAACTAGTGTCAGATTGTTACACTGTTTCTATCTTATATTAATGCTGCTTTAGAGCACAGTGGAACTTCACTGTTTAGACCCTGATCATCCCACTAGATCTTCTCCACACTAATTCCAGCTGAATTCATTTTACTGGAACACAGGTGACCAGAACTATACACAGTATTCCTATTAGCAATGCCTTGTACAATGGCATTAATACTTCTCTCTCGATTGGAAATGCCTTGCCGGATATACCTTAAGAGCACATTTGCCTTTTTTCACAGCTGCACCACATTAAAGCATCCTGTGACTAACCAACAAACCAGGTCTCTCTCCTCCTCTGTCGCTTCCAACTGATAAGCCCCCAGGTATTGATTTTAAAGAAAACACGTTTTGAACCATTAATAGTATCTAGTATCAAATGAATTATAGACTTAAGTAAAAGAGAAAAAGCCAGAAATGGTTAATTTTTATTACCTGGTAATGTCATAGACAAGCAAAGCACCCGCTGCACCTCTGTAGTAACTTCTTGTTACAGACCTGAAAGGGAGTTTTAAGTTATACAATTATGCTCCCATAATGCCTTTGTCATCTCAAATCTGGGTTACCATGATGTGTTCCACATGGGGCTATGCTTTCAAAGACTTTAAGGTCAGAAGGGACCATTATGATTATCTAGTCTGACCTCCTGCACAATACAGAATCTCACCCACCCACTCCTGTAACAAACCCCTAACCTATGTCTGAGTTATTGAAGTCCTCAAATCGTGGTTTAAAGACCTCAAGCTGCAGAGAATCCTCCAGCAAGTGACCCGTGCCCCACGCTGCAGAGGAAGGCGAAAAACCTCCAGGGCCTCTGCGAATCTGCCCTGAAGGAAAATTCCAAATATGGCGATCAGCTAAACCCTGAGCATGTGGGCAAGACTCACCAGCCAGCACCCAGGAAAGACCATTCAGAAACTGAAGCTAATAATTAAGCAGTATTTCTTGGAGGAAGCACCTTCCACCAATGTTTTACAATCTGCACTGGTTACCAAGTGACTTCCAGATGGAGCTTGAACTGTTGGTTTGACCTATGAGTTCCAAACTCTCTGGGTCCTGACTACACGAGAGATTGTCTTCACTCATTCCAGGGCAATTGTGATCATCCGAAGTGCATGAACAGTCCTCTGGTTTAAACAGGCAATGCCCAACAGCAGGACATTCTCAGGAGCCTTCAGCTTTGAAATTAATTTCTCCTATTATTTGGTCTGTCTTTTGTGACCTTCGGTGGAGGTTTTCTTAAGAGGCTCTTATTGGGTATGTCTACACTGTCTGCAATGTAAGCCCAGGTTCTGAACTCTGGCTCAAGCCTAGCCGCCTCTGCCATCTACACACAAATAGCACTAACCCAGGGCTTGGACCCAGGACCCTACAGTCGACCCAGGGTTCAAGCCCTATTGCTTTCCAGTGTAGGCACAGCCCCACTAGACTCACACTCTGAGAGTCTGCCAAAAATATTCCACGATCCCATGGGCTAGCCTTCTTTGTCTTCTGGACAGTGAAGTTTCCCCATGCTGCACCACAAACAGGCTAGAGTGGCCACATTTTGGGAAGTGCTAAAAAATCTGGGATATGGGTGTTTGGATTTGGGCCCTCATAATTCAGTGTAGACACTGGCTCCCCAAGTTGGGACCCCGGGTTCAACAATTACTAACTTGGAGTTACAAATGAGTAAAGATGCTCAAACCCTAGGTTAACTATCCCAGGGTCTGCTAACTTGAATTCCACTAACTCTGGGTATGTCTACACTGCAATGTAAGTCCACTGTGTTTCAGACATGATATTTTTTAAAAATTCACAGCTTCACCAGATAAACCCAGATAAAGAGAGTCACCCAGTATAGGTCAGTTGTAGTTTAGCTTTAAGCAACTAAAAATTATTTCTAATTGGAGTTTTGATCAACCATTTCAGTTAAAGAATATTGAAGTAGACATAACTTATCGTTCAGTACTTTTAGATAGAGGTCCATTCAAATATTTGTATCAAAGCCTTCAGTATCTACATTTTAACTGGGATCCTGGAATATACTAGATAATAAATAGCTAATAAATAATAAAATTTAAGGAGTGGAGAGAGGCAACTGTCTCAATTGTCAAAACCAAAACACCAGTGTACCTTTAACAATATATTGTACCCATACCAGCATGTCTGGGGCATAGGTCAGTTTCTCTAGAAGTGTATTTGGCAGGCTATGAATGTATTTGACAAATGTACTAGGACTATTTTTGTAACAGACTACACTGATATTGGGATTTATTTTCTTGTATATTTTGATTGGTATAGAGTTTCTTGGCATTTCCTTGTTCCAGCCAGAAGTTTTCTACACAAATCTGAGTACTCAAAATTTGATAACATAATATTTGAATTTTGTTAGCAAACTTAAGGCATGTATTCTTCTATTTACATACCTTAACCATTATATAAACTTAAACTACACAATACACTACACAACCAACCACATGAGTGGTGTTTCACTATATGAAAAACAGAAGGCCAGAACCTCAGCTGATGCAAGTCAGCATCATTCTGCTGAAGTCAATGGAGCTACGCCAGTTTACACAAGCTGAGACTCAGGCTCAGTGGAACAGAGTTAGCCATAACAAGCAGATACAACTCCAATGACTCAGACATTAACTGCACCCATTTACACCAGGGCTGAATTTGGTCCATAATATCTACATCTCCAATTTAGTATTAAATATTCTTTAATAAAGTAAATGAAAAAGATACCTGAATCTCTCTTGTCCTGCTGTGTCCCATATCTGTAATTTTACATATTTACCCCCTACATTTATTATCTTTGAACCAAATTCCACTCCTATAGTATGATTTGAGTCATCTTTGACTAAAACAGAAAGAAAAACAGATTTAGTGTTTATTTTGAGAACATTTCAGGTTTATGATTAGATGTTTTTACATAACTTAGAAACATTTCAATATATATTCATTGTGAAGAGTATAAACAATGAAAGTGCCATTAAAAACAGATCTCTACCACTTACTGTAAATGCTAGATAAGTCACTTTCTGTGACGCATATGCTCCCAATTTAGGCAGGAGCAAAACTCTTCAAGTGTAACCATAAAGTTACAGCCTGCTTGTCAAAAGACCGGATGAATTGTTCATAATCCAACATATTTCCTGTGCCATCAATACATTTTCTCCCCCCCACCCCAATTTTTGAATATCCTGACCAATTCAAAATATCACCGCAGGAAAGGTTCGCTTTTAAATAAAGCCACTTCAGAATACTAAACCCACTAGTAATTTTGGGAGTAATTTTAATATAGTCTCTGTAAGACCATGTTTAAGGCTCTACATTTTTAAAAACAGACCAATTCAATACAATAGCAGAACACAAAGGACTCAGTCTTGTCCACAAATATGCAGGCTCTATTTCTCCTGTAAAGCTTGTTCTTGCACACACATATGGAGCTCAAATTTCAAAATGGGCAGCAATGCACACCTGCTTAAGCACAGGAGCATGCTCCAGTGCATAACTATGGGACCATGTGAGTGTTGCATGGGTCTCCCAGTACATAATGCACTTTGTGTATCAGAATCCCAGTTCATTTTTGTTTAAATATCATGATAATGAATGCATGACTCGAAGTGATAAATGTAAGATAAACCAGTAAAACATTAGGCACCACTACCAAAGTCAAAGTATCTGCCAACTATTTAACATGAAAGGCAGGGTTGTCTATCAGTAGGGCCCTACCAAATTCACGGTCCATTTTGGTCAATTTCACGGTCATCGGATTTTAAAAATAATAAATTTCATGGTTTCAGCTATTTAAATCTGAAATTTCAGTGTTGTAATTGTAGGGGTCCTCACCCAAAAGGATTTGTGTGGGGTGGTCGCAAGATTATTGGGGGGGGCCTTTGCGGTACTGCTACCCTTACTTCTGTGCTGCTGCTGGTGCTGCCTTCAGAGTTGCTGCTCTCCAGCCAGCCAGCTCTGAAGGCTGTGCAGAAGTAACAGTGGCCATAGTGCAATCCCCCTAAAATAACTCTGCAAACCCCCTGCAACTCCCTTTTGGGTCAGGACCCCCAATTTGAGAAACTCTCCTGCAAAATCTGCATAGTATAGGGTAAAAGCAAACAAAAACACAGATTTCACAGGGGGAGACCAGATTTCACAATTCATGATGCGTTTTTCATGGCAGTGAATTTTGTAGGGCCCTATCTATCAGTCATAGCAAGAGACTAGGCATTGAGAGACTACCCGAGTGTCCTTGGGAAACTCAGCTTCTTTCTGCCTCAGCTGCCCATCTAGACAAATAGCAATAAAACCTTCCCAACTTTGTGAAATGCTTTGAGAGTATTATGCACTACCATGCCTTATAGTTTAACAGGAGTGCCTCTGTAGTTAAAGTTTGAATTATGACATCTGCTTAAAGATGGACCTTTCTAAGGTTGCTAAAATCGACAGTCTTAGTCGGATTTCTCTTTCATCAGCAGGTAGGATTAATAACACAAATTTAGTGTAATTTTAGTCCAGAGTTCCAGAAATATAAGCCTCCACCCCCAAAAGAGCCATTTCTTAAAATTTTTTTAGGTGGGTGGTTTTGTTTGTGTGTGCCCAGAGCTACAAATCAAACTGTTGATACAATGTGAGTCAAAGGTAGTGCATGACATCCACTAAATCTTTGGGGATTTAGTGACAATAGCTTTTAAGAAAATTTATATATATATATATATTTTTTTTACAGTGCACATGTGCCAATACAGAAAAACAGCAAGAGTTTCCATTGCTGTCATCCATATGCTTTAAACTCATCTAAGTACTCTTAAAAAAAATCAAACCGATTACTCTGAAATTTGGTGTGCCTCATGGGGGCACGGTAGTGTTAGTGATCCAAATTTGCAGTCATTTGACCAAGGGGTTCCCAAGTTACAGCACCCCCACAAAATGGTTTATTCTGCTGCCTTGTACTGTTACACTGAGAGGTACTTCGAATGGATGAATCACAGACCTACCTCTTGATGGCTGTGAACTCACCATTCAATTAAACATAATTAATCATAACCCCCCACTTAAGACAAAAGGAGTTTTGAACTGAGTAGCGGAAGGTTGCTGCAATTTAAGGCTTGGGCCTGGTCTACGCTACAGAGTTAGGTCCACGCAAGGCAGCTTATGTCAACCTAACTATGTAAGTGCCTACACTAAAAATTTGCTCCCACCAACGTATCTGCCTCACTGTATCGACTTAATTCGACCTCCATGAGTCAGTGTTGACGTAGTTAGGTCGACACAGTGCCAAGGTAGACACTGCATTGCTTACATCGACTGTTACTGGCTTTGAGAAGCCATTGCACAATGCCCCACACTGACAGTAAAAGTGCTCTTAGTCAGGACATGCCTGCCGACACAAGGAGCAAAGTGAGGACACACACAAACGATGCAATTACTGCAGTGGCTGTATGCCGACATAAATTAAGTCGACTTAATTTTGTAGTGTAGATATGCCCTTGGTCTACAGTAGCAACTTATGTTGGTATAACTACTTTGCTCAGGGGTGTGTAAAAGGAAAAACAGGTATATAAAATCCACACCCCTGAACGATGCAAGATTATACTGACCTAACTCCAAATGTGAGAGTATTACGTCAACAGAAGCGCTTCTCCTGTTGACTTAGCTACCGCCTCTCAGGGAGGTGGATTACCTACGCCAAGGGGAGAAGTCTCCCCATCGGCGTAGTAGTGTCTTCACTGAAGTGCTGTGGCTGCGCTGCTGCGGCATTCTAAGCATAGACAAGACCTGACAGTCATGGGTGGCACTTTCATTTTGGAGGGGAACAAAGTATTGGGGGGGGGGGCGGGGGAATTAGATGTGTGAAGGCTTCCCAGGAACAGAGGAGGGTTTGTGGCTGCAGTGAAGGGAGGGGGGGAAATGGAGATGGATGGCAGGGGATGTGAGAGGTTAGAGGCTTAAGTGAAGAAGGCATAACACCCCCCAGCTCTGCCAGTGCACCTCAACCCCCTGCAACACATACGCTATTTTTTCCTGAGGAGTTGGCTAAGTATGAGAATATATGCCGGGATCTGGAACTTCCTGAATCTTATAATGCCAAGAGCCAATGTGAATAATGAGGCATTGCCTGAAGAGGGTATGGAAAATCTGTTCTTTTTTGTCCTTTAATAGTATTAGATGGAATCCTGTGGGTGAGAGAGAGAGAGAGAGAACGGGCTGTAAAAGGAAGTGAAGAGCTCAGCAACTGTGGAGTTGGCAGAGTAAAGGTAGGTGTGTTAAGGGGGTGTATGGGTGCATTGCTGAAAGAGAGAAGAGTTAAGGTTGTATGGGCAACCTTAACTCTGCATTTGCTGAAGTCTTAGTTTTGATCAACTCAATGTTCTGCAAAGGAATGACATGCCACCAAGCAACATTAACTCTGTATTAAAGCAGGTTTTTGCCATCAAATATAAACAAGTACAAAACAGATAGAGGTGTACTCTAACAAGTGTTGGCCCAGTCCACTCTGGCATCAGAAACATGCTAGCTTACTTTGCTTAAAACACTCTACTAGCATGCCCTAGAATGGTTTACTTGGACAGTGGGGACAAGAATTATTAATGAGCATCATAGTATAGATCACCTTCCTCTGCAGTCTACAACAGTTTTAGAACATGGTTCTGAACACAGTTCCCAGACAAAATCCCTGTCTACACTGGTTAAAGAAGTGTTGCTAGTACAAAATACTTTTAAACAATGTTGTGGCTAGCAAAAAACGGATGCCAGTGTGGACAGAGGTTTAAAACTACTTTACGGCGAAACATCAGACATGTCACTATGCCCAGATATAAATACTTACATTTCTTCTCAATAAACTGATGAAGTAAACAGGACTTGCCAGTTCCAGCATTTCCAATAACCAAGAATTTAAAGAGGAAATCTGAAGAATGAAAACAAAAAGAGCCAACTATGAGACATTTACTTCTGTTTTAGTGTCTGTTTTTTGCCTTGTCAGCAGACCAAGTAACGTAAGGAGAAAACACTTCTTCAGTCAGCCACCTGACACTAGCTGTTATTCTAAAGAGGAGGAATAGATAGGAAACTTAGGAAAATGGCCATAAAGATAAGGAATAAGGTAGCAATAAAGGGGTTTAAAAAAAAAAAAAAAAAAAAAAGAGCACTATGTTTACGGAGCTATAGGGATAGATAATTAAAAAGCAGAGAAGTTGGATTAAAAGGGCAATTTAAAGAAAAATACAAAGGCATAGAAAGATAGGTGGTCTTTTAGTATTCCAAAAGAGTATATTCTTGTTTTTCACAGTATCCCCACTTCTCACGAGAGCCCTAAAAACACTATTTAAAAGTCATTTCAAGTTGCTCAGACATTACAACACAGTTCTTATACGCGACAATGTTTCTGTAAAGTCAAAATGAAAGTCATATGCTGGAAGTCCTAGGAATTGATTCCTACCATAAAAATGTAGAAGTGATATTACTTAGAAGTAATAACATTTCCATGCCTCTTGGCTGCTAAGAGCCCAAGAGTTGATTTATTTTAAACACATGAAAACTGATCTGCTTCACGTAACAGTTCTTACATCAAGAGAACACAGAAAAAGTCAATCTTAAGACAGTCAAGAGAAAATGAAGCATTGCTATTTGTAGTATCAAGAACTAACAAGAAATTCACCATGATGCTGAACAAAATCAAAACACCATTCAAGATATGCTGATACACAAAGTAGTTAGAGTTCAGGAAACACTGTGGCATAAGCATATTACAAATCAATAAACTGTTGGAGTCAAGTAAGATACGTAAGCCAATTTGTAAGGAATAAATAAGATTTTTAGTATTATAACACTTACTACAAAGATAAATTAAGAAAAACTTAGTTTTTAAACACATACTTCACTTTAAAAAAAAAAAAACCAACCAAACGAAAAAAACATATTACTGGGCACTACCACCTCAAGAAACTCTTGTCACCCTTTAGCCACAGCTTGATGTTCTGCAGATAGGTAGTGTGGTTATGCATTGTATCATCAAGCCATGTGCAAAACTCTTGAGTTGCACTGTTATGCTTAGATTAATGAGAACAAAATTAAAAGTATGTTTATTACCTAACTCCATATTCTGCTGTAATATTTTCTATATCTGAAACAAGTGTGTGTGTGTGTGTGTGTGTGTGTGTGTGTAGGCTTAAAAAATAAAAAAGTTTTATATTCCAGGATCACTGCCTTCACATCTCCCTTATGAATTAAGCCACTTCTGGCACTTCAGTGCCATGAAAAGTGATTCAGAAATAGGAGTTCGCTGAATAATTCTTTATGTTTGTGTCCACTGGCTCATTTATATGTTCAGTATTTGTGCTCTGCCCACATCTGCTTCACCCTTCCCTTATGGGACTACTTCCACTGTTTGCTTATGACAAGGAAAGGAAAGATTTTTTTCAACCATTTAATAAATTTTCTCATATCAATATCAGACTTAAATTCCCCAATACATGGCAAAAAAGATTAAATTTGGTATGTTAGTTCAGGGTGGATAAATTCAATTTTAAAAATATATTAATTCAAACTAGGCTTACTTTTTAAAAAGTAAGCCTAAATTGTGACAACCAGTGTTAAGACCAGTAGCCTCTTCTGCAAGTACCGAGACAGTATTTTTGTCATTTCAGTTTATTCAACTGTTCAGTTCTATGACTAGTTATTTCAAAGGTAAGAAACAGATTAGAAATTGAAAAAGCACAAAGCTTGATTTTCTCTTCCAATCTATGAATAAAAACTAGGTGTGAAAAGAGATCTACTAGTTCAAAAATCTTGAAGGACAAAGTAACAAGAAAAAATTAGTCCAACTCACTAACTACAGGTAATATTCACTTTGGTTAATCAGTTAGCGTTAAACTCACGTTTTGATACATAAAAAAGTATACAGCACATTTAAGATAGTTTAACTAACATACACTTTTAAAATTGTTTTTGTGCATTTTAATTTCCATCCAAATAGAGCTCAACACAAATCACAAGTAAAAATTAATCACCTAGTAAATAAGAAATGCATTTGCCATTTTCTTCATAAGTAAAAAATTAAGAATCTGAATAAATTAAATAAGTAAACTAAGCTATACAATTGCTTAAATGTGTATAGATATAGTACATTCTTCTGATTAGCAAAAAAGCAGAAAGTTTAGCGTAAAGGCTATGTTTTAATTGTTACCAATCAATCAAAATTAATCTCTTTTTAGGAAAATTACTAAATACAAAAAAAGATTAAAATCAATTATAAATCAAGGTTTCCTGCTTGCCAATTTAAATCATGATCTAAATCCCTGTTTTAATCAATCTACCCTGAAAGTTACAAAATTTTACAAGACCTATTTTGTTCCAAGCAGTCTCAGTTTTCTTTTAATCATCTTTGTTAGTTTTCTTCTTTAAATACAGCTAGCTTCCAGAGAACACAAAATAAGCATGAAATTGAAGTATGAAGACTGGGATTCCACCAGAAAGTGAAGATTAATTCCATCAAGCAGTCAGTGTTCACTGGTCAAATGGGTTACATAAGTATTAACTTTGAAAAATCAGGCCACGGCTAATATGTCAAAGCATGAAAACTATACTTCATCAGAAGTCCAGGGTGAGACCTTCATTTATAGGTTATTTTTCTCCAGGAGCATGCATGCATTCAAATCATTAGTCCATTCTGTTTCAGATGGGTGTGACACTGCACTCCATATGCTTTATGAAAATATGCTTGGAATGTGAATATAATGTAACTGGAATATGCTTTATGTAAAAGGTCTCGTCTAAGGTATCATTACAAAGCTTATAATCTATTGAGTGTGTTCATCCTATTTGTATGTATATATCATTCTTGTATGTAAAATTAGAAATATGAAGTTAACTCTGAGGTCCTATTGTAATTATGCAAAGTGTGGGCAATTAATGGTGGTTTAGAATCTTGATGGCTCCCATTGACTAGGAGAATTGGCTGTAAATGGCTCTGTTCACCTGCAAGCCTTCCTGTGTAGGTGAGGTGGGTAATGAAGAATGAGGTCTCACAGGACATGTGACCAGGTCATATGATACTGGAATCCATCTTAAACCTGGTGCTTTTCCATTTAGAAGGAGGGGTGTGGACCCACAGAGACAAAAAATTCCCACCTTGTGCCAAAGATATAAAAAGGGGGTGGAACAGAACAAACGGGTCCCAATCATGTGAAATCCCCTGCTTTTCCCCTAAGATGCCTGCTGGAACTAACAAAGGTCTGTAGCAGGGGAAAGGATTGGGCCCAGACTAGGAAGGAGTCTAGTCTGTGAAAGAATCTTATTGGAACATCTGAGGGTGAGATTTACCTGTATTCAGTTTCTTAATGTATTGGGCTTAGACTTGAATGTTTTGTTTTATTTTGCTTGGTAAATCAATGTTATCGATTAATTAACCCAGAGTAATACCTGGGGGAGCAAACAGTTGTGCATCTCTCTCTCTCAGAGTTATAGAGGGCAGACAATTTAAAAGTTTACCCTATATAAGCTTTATACAGAGTAAAACAGATTTATTTGAGGTTTGGATCCCATTGGGAGCTGGGTGTTGGATACAGGAATACTTGCTGAGCTGTTTTCAGTTAAGTCTGCAGCTTTGGGGGTTCAGACCCTGGGTCTGTGTTGCAGCAGGCTAGTGTGTCTGGCTCAACAAGACAGGTTCTGGAGTCCCAAGCTGGCAAAGAAAACCGACTCAGAGGTAGTTTCAGTTCATCAGGTGACAGTCCCAAGGGGGTCTCTGTGACCTAACGTGTCACGATGGGAATTATTCTTTGTTACAGTGCATCATTAAGCATCTTATAGGAATAGCAAAACCACCACAAATAAATTTCAGTGTTTATAAAATCCTGCTGTTGAACAGTAAATGGGAAGACAGAACAGAATACTGCTGCTCAGATGCACCCAACCCTCCTACGTCCATAAAACTTTCCTCCAGAATGTATTCATCTCTACAATGACAGCGTACACCGTCACTGTTTTACTCTTATGGTTGTGTTTTGCCTTTTTAGTGGCCACACATAGAATTCTAACACCATCAAAGCAGTGTTTCCCAAACTTGGGACGCCGCTTGTGTAGGGAAAGCCCCTGGCGGTGGCCAGTACGTCCCTTGGCCTGCGCTGCTTCCAGCAGCCCCCTTTGGCCTGGAGCAGCGAACCGCGACCAGTGGGAGCCGCGATCGGCCAGACCTGTGGACGCGGCAGGTAAACAAATAGGCCCGGCCCGCCAGGAGCTTTCCCTACACAAGCGGCGTCCCAAGTTTGGGAAACACTGTATCAAAGCATTATATTTTCTGCTAATTTGAGACGTTTGAGTTGCTCACAGGTATAGGACCACTCTTCCTCACTAGATTCTATTCCGAAATTCTTCTCCCAGTTAACCTTAACTCCTCCACCCAGCTATTCATGCTTCCTTGACAAGAAACAGTTACCTGGGAAGATTTTTCGTTCTAGTTGATGGGCATTCTGGATAGCATCTTCCCCAGTGGACTGAAAGGTAGGGCTTCAAACAATGTATATCACTGGTTCTCCAGCGCCTTTATTCTGCCTACAGTTCGTTTCCCAATTTCTGGATTCCCAAAATGCATGCTTTACAGAGGTTTCATTCTCTGGGCCACCCGGAAAGCCTTCAAGACTACTGCCTGTGTCAAACTGTGGTATATATCATAAAAACCCAGTGTCCCAAAATGGCATCAGCTGACAGCTTTGTGGCTATCTGACAAAGTTTTTAAATTCAGGTTTTTCTTCACTTGAGAATGAACTCAAGCTTTTCAAAGGAACATTATATCTTCATTGTGACCAGTTTGCTTCAATGTACAGTATCTCAGATTTATAGTATATCAGCGACATTAAACCCAATTTGAAATCAGGTAGTCTCAGGTATAACAACATCTAGCTAAGGCTC